ATCCCAGAACTTTCATCAGGTTTACAGTGGGAGTGAGAAAAACAAAGCAGCTAGCATCCCTAAAGAGTTATCACATTGTATGTTAACTTTTTAACAAGGGTGGACAAAGGAGGGCATGTGGACTGTTAGAGGCTGGTTATTTAATGACTGTATAAAACGGTATGCATTTAAATAAGGGCTGCAGGTCATTCTGCGTCATCTAAACTGACTGCAAAGCATTATATAGATCCTGCTCAGTATTTACTGAGTGAAAGAGCTTAATCCTTTAGGTGTCTATCCCTGCTAGCAAGAATAAAAAGAACTCAAGGAATGGGGCTGGATTTAGGAAACGGAGATATCTATTGGCAAAACAAAAAGACCCTGCTAACTGAAGAAAGGGAGCTCAGGGGAGACCCAGTAATAAATGTACGCTCCTTTCTCCCACATAAAATTATACAGCTGAGCATTATTATTTTTGTGACTAGCTAGAGGAAAAACATTCTTTTCCTCTTGTCTCCTTTGCAAGACAGGATAGAAAGTCAGTACCTTTTATTTTTCTTTGCAAAAATTAGGTAATTTCTTGTGACAGAGCTAGTTTCTGACCAAAGATCAGTGAACTCTTCAAGGCAGACTAATAACAATCAAGCATGTCCCCTATCCCCTGGGGTCAGTGAAAGACTTTCTCTACATCTATAAAGTGTATGTGCCGAGTCCTTAATTAGGGCTTTGGACAAAATGTTATCGTAGAAGCCACCAGTGACACTACAGCCAAGTTCTGATCCTGTGGCAAGAACCCTCAACATCTGTTCCCCAAGATAAAAATATCAAATTGTTGTTATGCGTTGTTAAGCATTTTTTCTCCCCTGCCTCAGTAGCAATAGTTAATAGAGTTCACTGTAGAATTGATAAATAACTCTCTGCTTTATGCTAAGGAACTCTATTGCAAAGGTATATTGTATAAAGACAAAGCAAAAATGGATACTGTTCCAGAAACTGCATAAACATAAGTACAAGAGATACACACAAGTGGAAAAGTTCGAGAAACAGTAAGACAGTATCAGGACTCAAAACAATTATCCTAACTGGAGTCATATTTTTATTGTTGTGTTTTGCTGTATTTTTCTTAATAGAGCCACAAGTACAGGGGAGTTTTAAAAAAGATCAATGAATTGATTCTGTAAGTTCTTAAGGGCAGTGCCTCCTGTGTGCAAGGGGCAGCACTAGTGACAGCATAATGATGGTTGTTTGAAAATTCAGCAAGTTAGCGATACGAAAGGAAAGCTGACATCTCGACAGAGCAGATCCGGAGAATCAGTTGGAAAATTGACACACAAAGAAAGAAGGCACGCAGTTTGAGTCTAACACCACAAAGAGGAGATGTGGAAGATGCAGCAAGAGCAGTGACAAGGTTGAAGCAACTGACTGAGGAAGTACTCCCCACAGTATCATTCGGAGTAGAGATGAGCAAGGAAGACAGACTATGTCAGAGCCAATTAACAAACAGATGCTGCAGTTATCAAGAACAATTTGATTGAAGTCTCAACTTTAGATATGCGATAGATAAGGCCAAAGGTTTAATACTGTGGAAAGAGAAACTACACAATACAGCCTGAGAGAGAGGACTTAGGATGGAGTCTAAACTGCAGGTGATACTGATTTGTAAAACATGAACAAGATTTGTTTTCGGATAGAAGTCGTCAATAAAGTCTTATGAGGGGCAATAAGTCCTGAAAGAAGGAAAGGAAAATTTGTGGTGTAGGTCAAGATGGCTGGGGACTAACTCACAGGAATCACTAAGCATACACTGTGTGTTGTGCAAGACAACTGGGGTTGGACTCCATGAGGAACAACCCCTCTCTCTGCTTCTTCCACAGACTTGCAGTGCAAACTTGGATTTAACCTTTAATGGTATTTTCTTAACACAAGATGACCAACCTCTTTTTGAGGTGCTCGGATACAGTGCTGTTACAATGACCATCACAGAGAAGTTTGCATTTCACAGGTACGAACTTAAGCTACCATTAGTTCTCTACAGACAAGTGCAGTGGTTTAAAATGGGACCTTTCCTAACTAAGTGGATTTTAAACAAGCACAAGAAGTCCTCAACTTTCTGAGCTTATGGTTATGTCTGCAAAGTGCAAAAAGCTCCAAACAAGCTTTGAGCAGGCCAGCACATCTGTGCAACATGGCACAAAGACAATTATGCAGATCTCAGAATTATCATAGCTGTGTCAGTGCAGTGCTGAGACCAAGCTGAGAATCTCCACTTCTCAGCTAAACTAATTTGCACAGGCACAGCTCCTTATGGATTAATCTGCATTGCTGCTGGATCTGCAACAAGCTCAGTCATTGCTTACGTGCTATAACGGTCCTTCAGTTTCAGAGTTACCACCTCCAAGAAGCCAACAGGAACAATGAAATGGAATACAGCCACCTGAGCTTAACTACTCCAAGTTACAAAGGAAACTAAAAAAATTAAATCTCTTTGCCTTGTGTTCCCATCTCATTGAACCACTTTCAAGTCAGAGGTTTGTAAACATGTATACATCAGCGAGTATCTCTATCCATCGTGTCTGCTCAGCAGCATAACTAGTTCTGCCTAATTTTGTAGGACTAGCATTCAACATTGACATGGCAGAATCTACCACTGATAGCAAATCAGCTGCATCCTCTCTTATTTTTTAACTAATGCAACAATCTTAAAGTTCCAAAGGTCAGAAAACAGACAGTTAAAGATAGGTAGACTCCATAATTCTGATAAATTCTTCATCTGTCTGCTCAAGCTTAAAAAGCCACACACCCTCAAACCCTGCACCTCCACATTTCAAGTTGCTGCTCTTTTGCCATTTTGGGACAAAAAGTTGGTTTACATAAAAAGCATTCTAAGGATTTCTCCCCAGGTAATCAGCAATAATCTTGCTAAAGACAAGCACAAAGGAAAATACTGAGGATCACTTTCTTATAGCTAAATTGACTGTTCAGTATTCTCAAGAGCAAGTGATGCTACAGAGTATACCTTCAGAGCTAGCTAGTCATCTGACAGCCCTCTCTAAATAAAGGTCCTCATGCTCACTAGCAGACACATCACTATAATAGCAAGCACTCTTGAAGTTCCAGTTGCCAGAAAATACTTTATTTGAAAACTCTCAAACTGCTTTGACACTGGGCTGCGAGATATCACGCAAGTATTCAGCTATGAGGAAGAGAAGATCACTCCAGATGGAAGAGCTCTGATTCAACATCTTGACAGCAAAGCAAGATAGTTTTTGGAGAGCTTTTTCAACCCTGTTCTAATCAAATGCTATGATCTGATAAAGGACCATTGTTGTCCCAATAAGGAAGTTGGCTTTATTGCCCATGACATTTTAACAGCAATGCATTTGCTTGCAAGAGGCAGTGAAGAGTCTGCCTTGGTAAGGTTTATGGATTCACGAGTATAAAGGTAACTTAAACTGGTACAACCACACACAGCCACAGCCTGTGAGCAGCTTTCCACAACAGTCCTGTTCTAAGGCATTTCAGAGCAGAGCTTGCGGCTAGATGAAGGTTATTGAAAAGTCTGCACCTTAAAGCCGTATTTGTATTTGCCATGCATTACAAGGAAATGTGTGTGCACTTAGGGGAGGCACACAAACTTAGGACTGCTACTACACCTGAAACTCAATCACTCAGTTTACAGTCACTGGTGTCCTTCATAGTGTGTTTCCTATGTCAGTACCTTGTAAGGACTGTCATCCTTTCCTCTCTTTCCCCTCCAAAAGCCACAAGAATTTGTCAGTCAGTACACCTGAAGTGACAAAAATGTGACCCAGGTACCCTGCATCTGTGCTACACTATGGTATAATTACAGTGTGCATATATATACACACTCTTCTATGGTATAGAATAGATACGAAATACTTAAGTCACATTTCCTTGCAATGCATGGCAGACACATTGACTGCTACTGTGATGGATACAAATTAACTAATGTACCAACAATCAGAACATTACTACAGTTCTTTTTACTGCTGGTATCATGAATATGTTAAATTAGAGCCACCAGATACTGAGTCTTCAGGTGACTACACATTTTCTTTCAGTGTCTACCGAACAAGGTTTAACACTAAGGATGCAAACTGGAAGCCAGAAGATGAAGCTGAATTTGTAGTTGTGTAACTAACCTGCTCTGTTTCACACGCTGCTGGTTTTACATTTGTAAAGTATTTTTACATTGTAAGGTGCTTACGCTCACCAAATGTATGGGCCAACAGAAGAGTCCATTAACTGCATATATTGAATGCTAGACTCTCTAAAATAATGCCTCCCAAGAGGCTGTTCCTAGTCAGGTAGCGTTTCCATCATTATTAACAGCAGGCCTACCCCAAGTTGATGGCTAATTTCCCCCCCTCTTTCAGCAACAGGCTACCATGGAATAACACTTGTGACGAGCAATACAGCTTCATCATGATTTCTGTAGGACTTGGATGGCACACTTTGGACCCGTATTTCTACTTTATCCTATTCCTAAAAAATCAGATGGATTTACTGATCCTAAAGGAGGGTAGCAGGGGGCTGTAGTCTTGCACTAGCACTGCTTGGTAGCATGCCTGCTCCTAGTCATACGGTAGGAGATTGGCTGCCAGCACTCCCATTTGCAGGATATCTACTGCAATACTCTCAGTTCAGTTTTGCTCAGGAACGATCAGCATCCTGCACAGAGAGCTCTTATCTTAGTTGTGTGTGTCTCTGTACAGAGTCAATTCTTTCACCAGCTTCGCTTATCAAACCTCTTAAAGGAGGCTCTCGCCACACATAAGGTTTTAATGAACCTGACCTTTTGAAGAACTCGTGAGGCCACTCCAAGGCGCTGTGTCTTTTTGGCAAGATACTCACCTAGTGCCACTTAACTGGCTGTCCTCATTTAGTTACCGTTGCTGCCAGTTATACTTCAAGTATTAATCATGCATCACAGCAACCTGTCAGACTAACATAGAAACTAAAAGATCTTGCCTGTTCAAACAAACCACGGTAATTCTTACCTGAATCTCCTCAGTTTCATCCACCAAGAGGAAACTCACAACTTTCTCTGTCATCTTCCTTCTCCTGGTCTCCTCATCCATCTCCTCCTCTTCCTGCTCTTGGGCTTTGCCAGCATGGTACACAGTCACGGGGTGCTTCCTCCTGTTCCCTCCAGCATGTGTTCTCTTCTGACACTCCACACAGAGATTGATTTTGCACACCTGGCACCTCACTGCTGCTATCTGCCTCGAGCCCGTCATGCTGGCGTGCATTATGTTCCCATTGGCACCTTTGCAGGAGTCACAGTATGGGACATGGCCAGGTCTTATTCGGGTCCGTTCATGGTTCCGTAACCTTTCCGGCTGATGCAGCTCTTCTTCACAACGCTGGCACTGTAGGCTCCTGCACTCGTCGCATTCAAAGATTGCTTCATCTGTCCCACTGCAAACATAGCTTTCCTGGCACAGGAGTGTTGTGTTCTGTCCTTTCTCTGCAGTTTGTGTGTGGGCGCTCATCTTCAGATTTCTTTAAAGCAATGTTTTTCCCTCCTGTTTCTCTTTTGAACAATGGTATGTGTAAAAGCCAGTTGCAAATTTAGTATTTTCACAGGGGAACGAAACTCAACAGGAATGTTGTCTGTACTTAGTTTTAAATAATAGATGTTTCTGTAAGATTCATACAGCGACCTGCCTCCCAGGAAGAGTCTTGTTAAGCACAAAGGAAGTTTTCTTTCTCCAAAATAAACTTAAACGATGTGGCCGGTTTCATGGACTGTTATACCCAAATGCTGGTATACATTCTTTCTCTGCTTAGCTGTATAATGTATTTTCAGTGATGATAAGGGGAAGAAAAAAAAAAAAAAAAAAAAAGTCTAGTGTACTTCAGCTTATAGGGCAAGTATTTCCCTGACGCAGAGATCGGAGGGAGGCAGCTGGTGACACAGAGGCAAAAAAGGCGTTAGAAATGCACAAGTGCATACACATGTACAGACACAGAGAGAGGACTGTGTCAATACTAGAAAATTCTCTGCTTTCACTCCCCAGCTAAGCTCCTCCTTCAGAGTTCACAGTATTTATTTGCTGGGAATTTCCTGATGTGCTCCGCCAGATAAACAAAAATCCGTTCTCTTTGTGCACTCCTTCTAGTAACGCAGGCTGAGGACGCTCGCTGCCGCGGCCAGGCTGGCAGACGACGGATTTGCCCCCCTCACCCCCAGCCCCAAATAACCCCAGCAGGCCCCCGAACCCCCCGCCCGCTCAGGGCGGGCTGAGCACGAAGCCGCTTTTGTCTCGACCTGCTGCCGCCCGGGGCCCCGGCCCTGCCCCCCCGCCCCGACCCCCGGCGCACCCCGCTCTCCCCGGCTGATTTCGGAGACCTGGCGGGGAGGGCGGCAGGAGCGGCCCGGCCCGGCCCGGTCGCGGTGCCCCGCGGCGGACGGCACTTGCGGCTCGGCCGCTCCGGGGCCGGGCGGCCCTTACGTAACGCCGGTACCGACCGGCGCCTCGCACCTACCTGGGGCTGCGCCGCCTCGTCCTAAGCGGCGGCCGGGGAGGAAGGGAGCGGGACAGCCCTCGGCGTCCTCCCGCCGAGCGGCGGCAGCGGGCGCGGAGCTTCGGCGGGGAGGGGGGGGGCCGGGAACAAAGGCGACGCCGCGAGCCGGGCTATTGTTTACAAGCCGGCGGCCACCTTTCTTCCCCTTCCTCCCGCCGGCACCCGGTGACTAAGGAGTCGCGTCCCGGCCGTAGCTTCTTCCTCCTCCCTCCCGCCCCCTCCGCGCCCAGGGTGGTGGTGTTGGGGACGGGGGGGGGGGGGGGGTGTCCCGGTTCTCCTCCCGCAGGGGCCGCGGCGGCGGCCCGAACATGCAGGCGAGGCGCCCGGGAGGGCAGGGCAGGACCCGCACCCCCCCACCCCCCTCCGCCCGCTCCCCTCGTTGTCAGCCGGGATCAGCTGATCGCGGGGAACTTGAGGGTTATTTTCTCACCGCGGAGACGGGAAGGCGGAGGGCGGAATGGCGCTGGCACGCCGGGAGCTGTAGTCCGGCGCTGCCTCACGGAGAGCCGCCGGCTCCTCCCTGGCGCCTGCCGGGAGGTGTAGTTCCCGGGGCGGCGAGGCCCGGCCTGTGGCTCCCGGGGCGGAGCAGGAAGGTTTCCCGGGGTGGCGGGGCTGAGGGCGCTGCCGCCCCGGCGGCCATGCCGTGAGGCGGCGCTCCCGCCCCTCAGGGCGGCTGGGGGGGGGGGGGGGGGGGGGGGAAGGCTTGGGGCTCCTGCCCCTTCCGCCCCCTTCTCCTCAGCTTTTTCTTTTCCCTGCAGCTTTATTTTTGTCTCCCCGCCCGGCGGGCGGAGCTGCGGGAGCGTAAATAGCCGCCAGCAGGTGTTTGGGGGATGAAATTCGGAGCGAAGCTCTCTCCTTCCACCCCCTGGAGAGCGACCAAGTGGCCGCTCCCAGGCCCGGCAAGCGATCGGGTCGTGGTGCTCACCCAGGCAGAGCCCAGCTCGCCTGCGCCCCGCGGGCGCTTAAACCAAGTTTCGACAAGGAGCGCTACCGGCCGCTGTCATTATTGTCCTTTCTTTTTTTTCTTGACGGTAGCTACAGCCGGTGGGTGAACTGGTGCCGTTTGTTTAGCTGAAAGAGGCTGCAGATCCGAAATAGAGCCACACACCCGCTGAAAAACGGCAGGTCCGTGGTCAGAAACTGGCGCTGCGGCAGCGGGTGGTGGATGCAGAAGGCGATGGTCAGAGAAGCCCCGCGGTGAGGATGTACCCTCGGCCGGGAACGGCTGCAGTGAGCTTCTGGCTTGTGGTGCTGGCTGGAAAGGGCAGGGTGCTACAAGAAAAGGGCAAGTTATTTTCCGTTGGCTGTACATGTTTCCCAAAGTCTGTGATTTAGGTAACGTGAGAAAATATTTTTGTTGTGTAGCCAGTGCACAAGCAATTTCTCTTCTAAAGTAACCAGAGTTTTGGGCTGGATGCTTGGATCTAATGCTAATGGACACCTCACTGGAGGAAAGAGATGTGCTCTTTCACTTCAGTGGACTTTACATGTTGATAACTATAGACAGGCAGCTCTAACATGCCCTGTTGTCTGGTCCCCTGGTTTGGTTGTATACAAATAATTTTGAGAGGGAGCCAAATTACATAACTGGATATCCATGCAGACAGTGATTGTGAGTTCACCTTTTGTAAGGTGAAATATCATTTCACAAAACTGAGTCAGCAGGACCAATTACCACAAAAATGAGGCATGGGGGAAGTTCCTAACACTAGGAGTGAGCAAGGCCCTGACAGAATTCAAGTGTATTGCTGAAGGATTTTTGTTCTACTATCTATGTGCAGATTCTACTATATATATTTGTGGAACTAGGTATATACATAGTTTATCTATTTCTCTTCTACGCAGTTTAGTGATAATGAATGAGTGAAGACTGGAACAGTAACTGTCTTCCCTGTTCTCTTTTGTAATGTATTTTCACTCAGTATTTTGCAGAAAAAAAAGTAATCAAAAATAGTCAGTAAACTGACATCCATAGGAACAAACGTTTGCTGAACCAAATGCCTTCAGAGTGAAAAAAACTCTGGATAGCGTATATATTTAAAACATATGAGGTAGAAACTTTTAATTCTCATAATGCTATTCACAGGGAATCAAGGAATAAATCAATGAGAGTTTGGCATCTAAGCTATCTTCCTCTAAGTGGGTCTATTTAGACTGGTAATGTGCTAGAGAGAGCAATTAAAGGATATGAGGAAGAGAAGACAAAACCCAGTTATTCATTCCATGGTGTCAAAAAAAGTACGCTTGAAGGCTACTTTTATTTAAAATACTACAAAAATATACAAAGTTGCCCTGGGCATTACTTTCTGCATAAAGCCTAAACTTCCATCCCCCACTGTTTCCTACTTAGAAAAAATTGCAGCACTGTTCCTCCTGGAATGAGAAGTGTAGATTTAATTTATCTTTTAAATGCCCTCCTTATAACTGTAAATTTGGCTTTGTTGTATGTCAAAAATAAATTCCAGCTGCTCCTTGAAAACCAGTTTTATTGATTTCTGTGTAACATAGCACATACCGAAGAGAGAGGAAACTGCACGGGATAGAGCAGCTAGGCAGTAAGGATCCAGGATCCCAGTGATTAGTCACAGTTTTATAAAGACCATACTCCTCTGCTGTAGTGGATCCTTTTTACCCAGTCATTCTGGAGCTGTGGACTAGAACTCTGTTTCACCCATAAAACACTTAAAATGTTGCATAGACTAGAAACAATTTAACTTCTGTTCCCTGTGATGCTGCCTAGCATGTCTGGAACCATCTCTCACTCTTGAAATGCAAAACAATATGCAAACATAAAAAGCACCTCTTTTAATTTTGGCTTTTAATATTAAAGCCATCTACTGCACTCTTCTTGATTGGCTTGAGCATGAAACTCAGGACTCCGCAGTGTGGAACTGAATAAAATGAACTGTGATCAGTATCTGGAAAGTGGGATCTCAGTTTCACAACTGGAGGGTGAAAAATAACATGGATAGGTTTAGTTGTAGGTAATTCTAAAATTCAATAGCAGAAAGAGTAGAGATGTGGAAGTAGATATTTTTACTGGATGCTTCTGATCCTATTTTTCCTTGTTTAGGAAGGATACTGGAGGCTGATGTTCATGATTTGTACAAGGAGAGTAAATGCAAAATGGTCTGTTTCTCTGGCTAAACAAAATAGATGGTCTAAAAATAGTCTAAATTAGGAAAGCCTTTGCAATGTTTCCAGTAAATAAAATCTTGTTATAGCAGTACAAGTGAGTTTGGATTTCACGTTTCTTTTTAAAGCAGGTAACAGTTTCTATCTGAGACAACAGCATAGAAACAGGAAACTCAGAAGATGCTTTTTATGCCCTTTCTCTTTTCCTTGGTTTTCCTGCAAGCTGCAAAATGAGTACCATTTTTACCTACCTAGGTATGTTTATAAATTATTTTAAATATTAACAGTAGTCAGTATTGCAGTTACTAAACCTGTATTAGTTGAAGGGGGATATGCAGGCTGCATGGAATGAGTTGTGATTAATAGAAAGTGAAAATGCTGTTTCTGATGGGGGAAGGAATTGCATTCAATCTTGAGGTATTTCCTAAACCTGGTACTGCTAAAATATTTACCCTTGCACATCATCTTGTAAAGCAAGGTGATGAACAGGACATTAGTTCCAGCTCAGTTGTTGACTGTTCAGTCAGATAGATTTACTCTGCTTTGTTCTGAAGAAGTCAACAGTGTCTACTTTGAATGCTTTCCTTGCCATTACAGGTGGAGGGGATTGTGTCATTAGACTCCTGTCTTGAGCACTTTTCCTTAAACTGTATATAAACAGTGGAAAATGTAATATAGAGATAGTAATTTTTTTTTTTTTCCCCTAGCTGATCCAAAATGTTTTAAACAACTTTGTGCGCATATACTCATGTTATGGTCTACCTCAGTATTGTCTGTAAACCCCCTTCCTTCCATTCACAGTCACTTCCTCTTTCCATTTCCAATTGCTTGCCATCCTTGTGGGAACTACAGCAACTACGGTCTCGCATGTAACATTGGGGGGAACTGTATACTTCAAATTGTCTTTTAATGTAGTCTAAATGCTGAAAGTAGGTCAGGGAAACTACCAGCTGCAGACCAGGGAGAGGCCCAACTGCTTTGTAGAAAAGTGACATCTTTTTGCTGAGCATATGGCTGCCTAAGACACTGGTGCTTGCTATTTCTGCTCTATAAATCCTTTTTTTTTATTTATTTTTTTAAGCAGAGATACAGCCTTCCATGAAAGCCAACTGTATCCTGGGCTGCACCAAAAGCAGAGTGGTCAGCAAGTCGAGGGAGGGGATTCTCCTCCTCTGCTCTGCTCTGGTGAGACACCCCTGTTATAGGTAGATTAAGGCCAATCACATCCAAATATGGATTAATGAATCTTTATTAAGGTAAGAGAGCAAATGCAGTGCTGGGGTGGCCGAGGAGTCGCTGCTCCGTCCAGGCTCACCAAATTGTTTAAGTTTCAAACCCCCTTTTATCCACCCAGCTGCCATTTCAACACCTTCAGCAGCCTCCTGGCTTATTCTACAATCTTATCTTCTTTCTTCAGTCCTGTGGTCATGTACACCTTGTCCTTCAAGTCTGGGCCAATTTGCAGCTCCTTTGTCTTTTATGGCTCAGTGGTTTCAGTTCCTCTCTTATCTCAAGGACAAGGGATACCAGAGATGGCCCATTCTGTTCTTTCTCAATCCATTGCAAAGGAGTTACCATCCTTTGATATGGACCATCTGGTGAGCATCCCAAGAGGGGGGGCTGTTAGGTTGGTGTTTCCTCAGATCAATTCCCCCCTTTTCCCAGTAGTAAAGTCTTTTACTTTTCTTAAAATTTGGATCATTGTACTAATAATAGCTTTAGCCTAAGAAGTAATTGTTTAATTACTTTTAGCAAAAGCAAAAATCTTCTATTACTTATCACACCCCCCACCCCCCACCCACCCAGAGTGCTGAGTCCAGCTCCGGGGTCCTCAGCACAGGAAAGATGTGGACTTATTGGAGCAGGTCCAGAAGAGGCCCCAGCAGTGATCGGGGGGCTGGAGCACCTCTCCTGTGAGGACAGGCTGAGAGAGCTGGGAGTGTTCAGCCTGGAGAAGGGAAGGCTTCGGGGAGACCTGATTGCAGCCTTTCAATACTTAAAGGGAGCTTGTAAGAAAGATAGGGACAGACTTTTTAGTAGGGCCTGTAGCAACAGGATGAACATCAATGGTTTAAAACTGAAAGAGAGTAGATTTAGATTAGATACCAGGAAGAAATTCTTCCCTGCGAGGGTGGTGAGGCGCTGGCCCAGGGTGCCCAGAGCAGCTGTGGCTGCCCCCTCCCTGGAAGGGTTCAAGGCCAGGTTGGACGGGGCTGGGAGCACCCTGGGCTGGGGGAAGGTGTCCCTGCCCGGGGCAGGGGGGTTGGAACCAGATGATC